GACAAATACATGTCGACTACTTTTATTTCTCTCGATACAGGTGTATGTTTAGATGAGTCATATCCAATTAATTCATCAAAATACACCATGGACTTAAGTCATCTTTATCGGTTTCTTTTTCTTGTACTGGTTAATTTTCAATAGTACAATCTTCTTTTTCTTTAATTATAGAAGTAACCAGCTTCTTAACTCTTTCTTCTGTTTTTTTAGCTTCATTTTTACCAGAAAATCTCTGCATTTTAAATCGTTATTTGTCATTAACGAATCTACGGTTTCTCACTGGTAAGCCAACTAGCTGATGGTTGATTTAAAAAAAAACTACGTTTGTGTAGATGTAAAAAGAGGAGCAACAAACACTTTACGTCGAAGAGGACGATTAGTAAAGTTGATCTAAGAGACTACTACAAAACTAAAAATACCTGCGACTCTTTCGGAGGGTAGACAGTCGGGCGACCGGTTGACGTTGAAAATAAAATAGCTAGGTATTCCGATTAATGAATGAGTTTCGATTTTCGATTGATCTGAATTTTCGATTTCATATCTTTATTGATAGTTCGGCAAAGAATTTATTTATTGTAAATATTCAATTAAGAATTGTTTTTCTTAGTCAAAATTATTGACCTAATATAAGAATAATTTTATTTTCAAAAAAAATGCACATTTGTATTAAAATATGCAATATATATGTAAATATTGCAATGATTGAAACTTCTGATGCATTTCTGTCCGTTTCGACTACTTCTACTACAAGTACTGACATACTGCCACCGCCAGCCAAGCGTCAAAAGGTGATGGATACTTCCATTAATAAAAAGATTAGTTTAGAACAAAAGAAACAAATAGATATGGATTTACTAAACCTATGCAAAGACTCGTTTTATCCGTTTTCCATAGTTGAAAAACAAGCTTTTAAAAAGTTTGCTCCTAGATATAAACTGTCAACAAGAAAAACTTTGTCAGGTTCATTACTTCAGGAATGTTATATCAAAACTGAGCAAATTATTAAAGCACAAATTGTTAAAGAAGTAGAAAATATCTGTATTACTACTGACCTCTGGACATCTGGAGTAACTGAGAGTTACATCGCATTAACAGGATATTATTTAATCGATAATTTAGAATTTAAAACTGTTTTACTATGCTGCTGCCATTTTTCTCTAAACCATAATTCAGAAAACATCGCTTTTGAAATTAGTGAAATTATTAATCAGTGAGGTCTAAAACGAAAAGTAAATTTTGCAGTAACTGATAATGCCTCAAATATGGTCAAATCTATTAAAGATGTTTTGGAATGGAAACATTTAAATTGTTTTGCTCATACGTTAAATTTATTGATGGAGGACGCACTTAAATGCTGTAGTGTGCAAATAGATAAAATAAAAAAAGTCGTTTTTTACGACATTTCGACAAAAAACACATTTCAAAAAAAGTACCTTATCTTCAGAAAGGCTTTTAAAGTATCAATTACAACATAACAAAGTTCCCAAACGGTCGATCCAAGACGTGGAAACTAGGTGGAACTTTACCTATTACATGTTAAAAAACACGACCGAGTTAGAAGAGGCAATCCGTTCCACATTGGTATTAGTTAATACAGACTTGCCAAATCTAAATAATGAAGACTGGATTATTTGTTCTCAACTTTCCCAAATTTTACGACCTTTAAAGAAATAACAAGTACAATGAGTGGCCAAAAGTACTTAAAGGGTAGTTCAGTGATTGTTATGGTATGCCGCCTGCAAGAATATTACAATAAAACTTTAGAAAACTGTAACCTTACATCCATAGTATCAGACGTAGTAAAATTACTAAAATCGAGTTTAGCAAAAATATTTAGAGGGATAGAATAGAGTGGTACATTGTCATTATGTACATTTATGAATTCACAATTTAAAGTACAGGGATTTTCTGATAAAAATGAAGCTAAAAAACAAAAGAAAGAGTTAAGAAGCTGGTTACTTCTATAATTAAAGAAAAAGAAACCGATAAAGATGACTTAAGTGCATGGTGTTTTTTTGATCAATTAATTGGACATGACTCATCTAAACGTACTTCTGTATCGAGAGCTATAAAAGAAGTCGACATGTATTTGTCTGATGATATATTACCCTGGCTAGGATAAACAATATCGCTGTTGTAGATAAATTTGTGTATCTGGGCTCATTAATAACCAACAAAGGAGGCTGTACTGAAGAAATAAAGCGGCGGTCAGCAATCGCAAAAAGCGCTATGGCAAAATTAACAAAAATTTGGAAAAGCCATGAAATTACTACCGATACAAAAATGAGACTAGTAAGAAGTCTAGTTTTTCCAGTTTTTACTTATGCATCGGAATGCTGGACCCTTACTGAGAAAGACAAAAAGAACATAGATGTATTTGAGATGTACTGCTGGAGACGAATGCTGAGAATACCATGGGTGGCCCGAAGAACAAATGAATCCATACTGGTCCAGCTAAACATAAAGAAAAGACTAAGAACACAAATAACAGAACAGATAATAAGCTATTTTGGACATGTGCTTCGAAGAAATGGTCTTGAGAAACTTACCATCCAGGGAAAAGTAGAAGACAAAAGAAGTAGAGGTAGATCTCCTACACGATACACAGACCATATTGTTGCTACCATTGGCGCTCCATTGTCAGAATGTGCTAGATTGGCAGAAGACAGAAAAACGTGGAGGAACATTGGAAAAATTACCTAACAGCTTCATGATATCACGATACCTGCATCAGGTTAACGACTAAGAAGAAGAAGATATTACCCTGAAAAAAATCTAACGAGATTGGAACTGTCCGTTACAGTCATGGAAAAACTATTGCCATGTATATCCTAACTTAACCACCATAATTATAAAATATTGTAAATGTGAACACATAAAAGAAGAACACGATTTACTATTTGTATTGTTTATAGTTTATTTTTCAAGTTATAATAAATATATCCTTCATTAGTTTCTTTCACTTCAATACATATACACATAAACGATAATATAGATTATGTTTGTTTATGTACTCTCTTACTTGAAACTACTGTTAAACAATCAACTAGTTGAATAATTTACCTAAGGCCGATTGTTCGAACACTAATCAAAAGTTGATTGTAATCAATTATTTAATCAAAATCAAATACGTGACATTTTGAGGTTATGTTGACTTATTTATTTTATTCAATTTTATTATTTTGCGTTTTAATTTAAAATAAACCATATTTAAACTCTTTCTGATGTTAATTTTATGTTTTTATTTACAAATCAATAATAATAATAAGCAATTTTTAATAATTTTGACAGCTGTTGTAACGTATTTGAGTGTAATTAAATATTTGATTACAATCAAGTTTTGATTAGAGTTCGAACAATCGGCTCCTAGTTTTTCAACTAGTTATTTGTTTACGAAAAACGGTTCAGTTGCGTTAACGATAAAAACGTCAACGACCCACCTCTACTCGTTACCACCATATTAAAATCAAAGTGTCCTTACTCTGACGACGCGAGACGCGACGTCGCCAAATAATTTTGTATGAAGCTTTTTTATTGTGGCGTTATAATGCAGTTTATTATTTTTATTGGGAATAGTGCACAATGTGATTTTAAAATAAACTTAGTTTGATGTTTAGATTTCCAATTAGGAAATCGTACTTAAAACACGAAACATTAATAAATTTTATTTATATAAAACGATTTCCGAAGTGGAAATCAAAATGTTAAATTACACTTATTGTAAAGTAAAATTGTGGCATATTCCCCATAAAAAAACAGTAAGCTGTCATTTAAATAAATTCGCCCAAATTTGATTATCTTAAAAACATTGTTTAAATGCTAAAAAGACAACACGTCAAATAAAACCAATAAGTTTGGCAACGTTGAATTATTTCCCTTTTTTTATTATATCCACACATGCATGTTCGGCGGTATAAAGGGCGGACCTAATATACCTCTCTCTTTTTAAACAGCTGTTTCTCACTCCATCTCACGTAAGGTCCATACCGACCATAAACTTTTTCCTACACTGTATATCCTGTCAACAGCCCTTATCAGTATTTTGGTTTACAAATTACGAGAGTTATGGAAAAAGAAGAAAACTGAAGAACAAAAAAAGCAAGATATATGAATAAGCCAGAATCTATGCCTTCAGTTTTGTTCATACCTCAAAAAACTTCTGAAGGGGACGGAGAAAGTTGTAAAAGTCAGAAAAGGGTCTTTTTTAAAAGTATCTTCATTAGTGAAAACTTTTAAGTAGCAATAATTGTACTCAGTGTGAAGCCGTATATATTGGAAAAACTGGGATAAATAGATCAAATCGTATTATTTCCCACAAAAGTGATTGTAGAATAAAGAAACAATCTTGTGCTTTGGCAAAGCATGTAATTGACAAAGTTCATCACGGCTTTTGACAACATTAAAATTTTGTGTAATGAAGGCAATAAATTCAAAAGGAACTTTTTAGAAATAGTGTGTATTAGCAAAACTGATAATAATTTGAATAAGAGATACAAGTAAAATTTATAACCGTATTATTTTTTTATAATTAATTCATAACACCACCAAAACATCACATTGATAGCTTTATTTTCCATATAATTGTTACATTCTTTCGGGTATCTGTAAATTATAAAAAAATCTTCTTTTTCTTCTGTAAATCTTTTCATGTTGGCAACATAATTCTCAAAAACAAATTATACTATAAACTAATCTTCTCGTAATGTTGGCTTTATCATGTTAACGGTTATTTGTCTTCCTATTGGCTGCTATCTTAATTTGTCAAAATTCAAATTTTTTAAATCATTTATCAACTAATTTTTAAAATTCAAAAAGAGAAACGTGTATTAAATCTAAAATTTTTTATTAACATTCAAATAATGTTCTTTAAATTAGTATTGCAGCGGTTTTATAACAAGCTTAGTTTTACCTGGTGAGTAACTTTTTTGCGAACAATTTTATTTGTCTTATATTTATTTCTCTGACCTTATTGAAATGGATTCACACGTGCAACCGATTCCTCATTTGTAACTTGATAAGCTTAACAATTTTTTACCTTTGGGAGCGTGGTAGTGACCTCTACCTTCCCCGTATCCTGGCCTAGGTCCTGCTTGACTTGCTGAAGGACGACTAGAAGGATCCCTTCGACTTCTACTTGTAGCAGGTGCGCCCCGGCCTGAAGGGGTCCTCCAGCGGGATACCTCTAAAAATCCAAGCAAATCGTGAATAAACAAAAAACATTTTTTGCGTTTATTTAGGTTTAGTAAATGCCTAAATATACTAGTCTTGTTTTGAGTGGTGTTATTTTGTCCAGATAGCTCGCAGAAACCATTTTCGTGTTACTCTAGATAATCGAAAGGTCTCAGAAAATTTTTACGTATATTACTTAACCAACAAAAATTGTACATTCGGAAGTAACAAAAAATACAAGACCATAATTAATATAATTTATATTAATACAGGGCTTACATTTTTTTCCTGAATAGCATTTTTATTAGAGCAAACTTCAATCATTTTGAAAAAGTCAAACAATTATAAAATGTACTTTTCATTACAATCCATTGTCTTACAACCATAATATTTGACTTAGACATGCCCCAAGAAAACATGCAAGAAGTTGACTTGACATTAACTGAATAGTGAATATTTTTTTAAAGTTAACCCTTAGTTATCGGATTATAAAAATAATACAATTTTTTAAAATTCTTTGATGAAATATGTTCAAAAATACATTCAAAAAGAAGTAAGTATATTTTTTTTCAAAATTTTTCAAAACCGTTTACGCAAAAAAACAGATGCGGTACTTTAAAGTACCGTCAGGCTGTGTAGAGTAATTTAGTGTGGTAGTGAGTTATTAGGTGACTAATGATATATACGGACATTTTTATTAATGCATTTGTAAAAAATACATCAATATTCAACATCGTGATATATATTGAAACAGTTCTTCTTCTCATTCAAACACAGATAAACTTTGCAGGTAGAACATGTTAAATAAGGAAGCGATTGAACACCTTGGCTGCTGCATACCTCACATCTACCTCTTTGGGCACCATATTTTACGCAGTGGGAGCCTCTATTTTAAAGGCGTACATCGGATGGGACTGAATAATATGTTCCTCTTCTTTTTTCAGGGTACACATTACTATTCGGTCCTCGTCGTTTTGATGGAGTTTTCTGAAGTTTGTGAGCCATTAGACCCATAGCAACACTTCTTCGAAAATCTAAAAGAGATTAGTTTTCACGTTTGTCGCAGAATATTATATAAGCATTGACGAATGCTATATCTATTAATCCCCAAAATAGCATATGCCACCACTTCTTAGGGCATCTGTTTAGTCCATAAGCAGTTCTCAAACGATCAGCATGATCAACACCCCCATAAATTTATTGTAATCTTTTACAACCATGGGAGCAACAATATCAGCCTTGGCACCATCTTTTTGGGTCCTTTGAACAGTTACTCACAACCGTGGTAATTACTAGCGAAGTAAACAATTTTATTGTCCTTCCATTTCCACACTCCAATATGCATCGACGAAATCCTGTAATCAAAATCTCCTCGCTTCTTTGATTTATCAGCTGTCAAGTTCTTAGGAAGAAACTTTTTATTCGATCTAATTGTTCCACATGCTAAAGTTTGTTCACTTTTTAACTTATCTAACAAGGGTATGGAGGTAAAATAGTTATCGAAATAAATCATTCTTTGCTTTCCCCATTCTTCTTGAGTAAGATGCAGAACTACACGGGCTTCTAGTCCAAAGTCCTTATACTTTTCTTCAACTGTGCTGTGTTTCCCTGGTAAACTTAAAATTTCATAATATATTCATATTGATCGGAAAGACACCATAATTTGTAGCCTCTCTTGATAGGTTTGAGAGGATTGTACTGTCTTAGAGAGCTCCGTCCCTTGAAAAGTATTATCGATTCGTCAACCGAAAGCTCACGAGTTCCTCTATTTCTTTAAAAATTTTCGATTAGTTTGTCTATCATTGGCCTTATTTTGTATAGTTTATCTTGAGCTTGTGTGTTAATATTAGTATTGTCGTTTATATGAAGATTGCTCAATATAGCAACAAAGATGTCTCTGCTTATTGCAGCTGGAACGATTGCAGTTTTTAAGTCTTCGCTGTTAAACCAATAATGCTTGAAATTTGCTAACTTGTGTTACCCCATGAACATGTTTATTCCTAAAAATGTTATCAATTTATCTTTTTTTAGACTCATAACCTTATTCCTTTGGACAGCATATAAGTTGCTCAGAGAAAACTGTATCATCAATTATGGAATCTAAAAGGCAAATAAAGATGTCAGTTCCAGTTTCGCAACCAGCAAAAATATCCTCTACTGCACGTGTTGGGTACATATATTCTAGAGATGCAGTAGTTATTTCTCTTTTATGCTACTTTCTATTTAAAATTGTCGCATTCTGCTGACTCAAGTCAATTTCATGCATTGAATTTAGCTCGACATCTTCTGTTATACCACTTTCTATGGACTGAGTCTCATCTCTTTTAATGTACTTGAAGGTTCTGGTACAGCACTGTTAGAATTGATTAATGCCTCATCATGATTATCTGATTCTTCGTCAGTTTGGAAATTTAATTTAGGTCATCCGGTATATCCTCAAATAAGAAATTGTCAACAATATTTAATAATTCCGCATCACATAGAGGTTTTTTGCTAGTCCAGTCTATTTTTTTTTTCAAATAAAAAAAAAGAAACGGGTTAGAATTATAATAAGAAACGATAATCGCGAAACAAATTTATGTCCATAATAAATTACTTTCAAATGCCTGATGGTACTTTTAAGTCTGCAGCGAAAAGTATCAGTTTTCTCAAACACCAGTAATTATTTATGAAAAATAAATACTTATGTTTGCACTCAAATGTTTCGTCAGCGATATTATAATCAGTTATACCGAAATACATTGATAATTTTCAATTTATTGGCACATGTGTTACAGATGACAAATCACAACTCAATAGTTAGGTTATGCACTAATATCGTTATTGTTTTAGCGCTAAAACAGTATTGCCGGTTGATTGAAATTAACTTATATTATTCTATATAAGGTACTGAAAAAGGTTTTCGTAATGTTGATTATAACAAATATACGTTCTTCTGCGATAATCAGAAGGAAAATTCTTGTTTTAAAATCTTTATTTTACGACTATTAAAATTACAATTATAAAGTAAGGTTGTTTCTTGTCGAGTCTGTTGATGTCACTTGACGTATAATATATAGACTCGGTGAATGCTTTAAAAAGTGTCCAAAACATGAATACCTTTGTTATTGTTTATTGTTTTGATACGAAGATGCACGAAGTTCATGATTTCTTACGAAGCATCACGAAGTTGATCTTGTGTTTGAAAACATCATGGACGTATGAAAACATTTTCTCCATTTTGTGTGACAAGCAAATTTTATTTTAAATTGTTGAGAGTTATTTACTTACTATTTTAGTAAAATGCCATACTATTTTATCAAAATAATTATTTCTCTTATAGACGGGAACAAAAAGAAATCATAAATATTTAATTTTAATAAAAAAAAATAATTATTGTCATTAACATATAAATGAGCACGCCGCTGTTCTGATAAACATACCTTCAACCTTGAGCCGAGATCTTTCGGACACTCGATTCTATAGCGAGAATAGGGGACTGCGTAGTCTATATATTATACGTCATTGGGCACACGCCTCCTCGGTCATGGCATCAGCAGCACACGCGCATAGGATTAACACAGCGTCGTTCAAGGTTCAAAAAAAAAGTTTGAATATATAGCGGGACGCAACAGGTACTTTAAAGTACCTATAGGAAAAAATCAAGGTAAATATAAAGATGTGTTTTAGACATACTTTTAAATACGTGGTACTTTAGAGTACCGTCCGTCAACTAAGGGTTAAAAAGGGATAATTTGTGGAGTTGGCTGTATATCATAATATGGATATTATAATACTATATTATAGTTAAAAAACTCAAACATCGAACATAATTTTAACCGATGAACATTAAATAAACAATAGACTTCTTACAGTTTTTCTTGTATTTTTTTGTTTCGTTTCTCTCGTTTAGTTGTTAATTTATAATGTTGAGTTATCGTAGAGTTTTTAAAACATCTAAAAAAACCTACAAATTGTTTTTGTAAGTATGAACCCTGTTGGTTGTTTACTTATATTCTAACATCTTTTTTATATGTAGTGAACTGATGATGCTTTTAAAAATAAAAGAATAAATTTAAGATTATTTTCGAATTATTAATTAAAGATTTATTTTCGAATAAATCAATAAAGTAGTTGACGACTTTTATTTGCCAATTATTGACCCGATAAAACCTTTGCTATTCAACCATTGAATATTTTTTAAATTTAATCAACGGTGGTAGTTTTTGCCATATATATATATATATATATATATATATATATATATATATATATATATATATATATATATATATATATATATAACCGATAAAAATCATAAAAACAAAGTTACAATACATAATGTTCTAGCTTTGAATACCGATGGATTTATAGAAGATAAAATAGAACTTACCATTCTTCGAAGAGTATTCATAGGCCTTCTTAAGGTATCACTAATCCTCTGGGCCTTCTTCAGTTTCGGATTAGACGAAGGAGTATGTACTGCGCAACACTTTATGAAAAGCCCCATAAAGATTATAAAGGCGATTCCCATTAACAGTACTGCCCACCAATATTCGGTAATCCATTGAGCCACGGTTATCAAAGTCTCTTTATTCAAAAGGAGATTCATAAGACGAACTAATGGTCCATCAGCGTCAACTGCTCTACATTTAAGGAAAACATCGCAATAACCCTACAATACAATACAATAGTAATTAGGCAATGTACAACGTAAGTGCAGCTTCTATAATTAAAATCCAGATATGCAATATCTAATTTACAAATAAAAAAATCGCTTACAAAATCTACATCTTTTTGGTATGCCTATTCCATTTATTCATTTCGCATAATGTGTCAGAAATACTGTAGCTTTCGAGATTTGATGGTGGTCAGTACCCTTGATGGTAGTCCTCTTCATTCATCTGAGGACCTCCTCATTTCTGACTCAGCCAGTTCACCGGATCTTAAATATTATCCAATATAGTCACATCCCAAATAATTCCAATCTTCTGCACATATCTTCGTTCAAGGTCCACGACTCAATAGCATAAACAGAACAGAGAAGACGTAACATCGCAGCAGTCTTACTTTTATACCAGGAGAGCGTGTGGCTCTTGAAGAAGGCCATCATCAGATTGAAAGGGATCTACCTCTTATCTTCTCTGGAGATAAGATCTCGCTCTATTATGCCTTTCTTCATTTATTATGGTGCCTAGATAGTTATAGTGCCTCACTCTTTCTACTGGGTCTGGTTGACGTAGAGTTGATCTTGTTTCTTTTTTTTTCTTCTTGTGAGCTTTGTCTTCTGTATTTATTTTGTGTCAGAGAGTTTTTTTTGACGAAACGTGGATTTATTTAAAGGAAAATAAAACAATTTCCTGGCAAGATAACAGTGTTAAAAGTGTAACTAAACCAGAAGGGTATGATGGTAAACGTTTGACAAATGTTTGCGATAGTTCTTTGCAAAGATTTGTTACTGAAGCAAGTTTATTATTTTGCTCAAAATTTAAAGTAGCTGATTATCATGAGGAAATGACCAACGTAATTTTCACTAAATGGATAAGTGAACAATAAATTCCCAATCATTAACTGTGATGGATATCGTTCCATATTACAGTGTTTTTTCAGAAAAGCAACCTTCCACTGTTACACCAGGATAATAAGGCAAAAATCTACCCGTTCGTGACACTCAAAAAAGCCAGGGTACAGAAAGATTTTTTTGATGTATAGTACCTATACAAATATATTCTAACCATTTCCTGCATAAGATTTATTAATAGTTTTTATTTATAAACAAATTACTGTGAAAAAATGGACGTTTTGGCGTTTTTATTTTATCATTGAAAAATAAGGTTTTGAAGGTTTAATGGCATAACCATAGTTTAGAACATGCAAAAAGCTTCAAAATGACGATTTGCAAAAATTTATATACCTACTTGTTTAAATAAATACAAAAAAAAACAAATTAAAAAAAAATAATTTTATTTATAACTATTTTTTCTTTAGGATAATTATTTTTATACTAGGTATAACATATGCACTTACCTGGAAATTATCACAGGGAGAACCAGGTCTTAAACTGATGCCTCCAGGGGGAAGTCCTACCTTATCCGCAAACTCACTAGTACTTCTGCAAATGTCTGTGCCGTTTTGACAAGCCAACTCACACAACTTTCTCTTATCGATATTGGGATGATCCTGTGATGTCAAAGAACAAGCTTCTAAATTCCATTCTAAGCAGATCGAGCCACTGCATTCTCCCTTAATGCACAATTGAGTTCCATTATTGCACCGAGTCTTATCTGCGCGAGGAAAAGGAACGGGACATTCGGCGCTGGTACCGTTACATTTCGAGGATCGAGAACAATCCGATTCCATTTTGCACACTTCCTGGCGATACGAAGATATAAACTTGCATTCATTACTGCAGCATGGACCTTGGCTAGGACTGACAAAGTAAAATAAAAGGTTACTCAATTATATACGTTTCTAAATAAGTTTATATTATACATGTTATATACAAAGCAAATGTTTCTAAAATTAAATAAACAAACCGGACCTGATTCAAATTTGAAAAAATCAGGTCCGGTTTTACAATTATTTCGTTTTTTTTTCATAGAATAAATTATTTAAAACTAATGTAGTTTACGTGTGGTAACTTAAAAACATATTGTGTGCTATCATAAAATTGAACACAAACTTCTTTTTGTTGACCGCTCAGTCAGGACGGTAAGTGATAAAAATAGACAAAAATATTTAAATAATTTAAAAAAAATGATCTTTTTCTGTCGTGATAAAAGAAATGATTAAAGGCCATATAATGTAAGGGATTAGTGGTGTCGGTTCATCATCATTATCAACCTGTATGCGTCCACTGCTGGACATAGGTCTCCTTCAGCTCTTTCCATCTGTCTCTGTCTTGTGCGACATGCATCCAGTTATTGCTAACACGCTTCTGGTCGTCTGTCCATCTAGTTAGTGGGCGTCCTCTGCTCGTATTGCTTCTTGCCTTGGTCTCCACTCTAAAATACGTTTTGTCCATCGTTGTCTGATAATATGGCGATGTGTCCTGCCCAATTCCATTTGAACGAACGATTTTTTCGATAGCGTCTGTTGTTTTTGTTCTACGACGTATTTCTTCGTTTGGGAGTCGGTCTCAGAGAAACACCCAAATTCTGGCACCCCATAGCCATCTGAGTCACGCGAATCTTATTAACTACCTTTTTTGTGAGTGTTAATGTTTCCGCTCCATAAGTAAGTACAGCTAACACACATTAGTCAAAGATTTTCCCTTTGAGGCATATGGGTAGACCCGATTCAAATACATAGTTTAATTTATCAAACGGTGCCCAGGCTAATCCTATACGACGTGGAAGCTCACATGTCTGGTTATTTCTGCCCTACCGAATTTCCTGTCCTAGGTACTTATACGATGTAGTCCGCACAATATCCCTTCCATCAACAGCAATATTTCGATTTAGCACAAGATTAGTCATTATTTGTTCATATTAATCTTTAGTCTTGTTCATACTAATCTTTAGTCCACCTCCAAGGAAGAGTGACATAATTTTTCAAACATTATTATTGCATTATATCCATACGATCGGCTATAAGGACGATGTCATCTGCCAATTTTAAATGACTGAGCTTCTCTTAATTTATTATTAATACCATGCTCGTTCAGATGTGCCTTCTTACAAGTATATTCTAAAAGCGTCGTGAATAGCTTTGGAGAGACTGTGTCTCCTTGTACTCCTCGCTGTATACAGAATTTATTGGTTTCTTGTTCAGATAGTCTTACGCTAGCTGTGGCATTTTGATAGATATATGTATTTAATTATGTTAGTGTAGCGATTGTCTATTCGGCATTCTGTCAATGCTTGTAATATTTTCTGATGGCTTATAGTATCGAATGCTTTCTCGTAGTCGACAAATATCAGTGCCAATGGTTTGTTGTATCCTGCAGACTTCTCTATTATCACTTCTTTATCACTAGTAAGTGGTCGTTAGTGCTGTATCCCGATCTAAATCCAGCTTGTTATCTAGGCTAATAGAAGTCTAATTTAGCGTCCAGTTTTTTTTTTATAATTTTTGTGAAAAGTTTATATATGTGTGAAAGCAAACTGATAGGACGGTAATTTTTAAATCTGTTATGTCTCGTTGCTAGTGTAATAAAATAATGACTGCATTATTCCGTTGAGGAGTTTTTCCTTGGTAGATTTCGCCTCAAAACTTTTATTAAAGGTTTATTTTCGTGAATTATCTTAGTTATTTCACTTGTATTGATTTCTCTTACGACTTTTCGGATTGACCGGTGGAAATCGTTATTCAATTTCTTCATTGTTGTGTAGTTGGAGCCGTATTTTTCCGTCAGCTGTCTTCTTTTACCTACAAGCTCTTTGGTATTTTGGCTAAGTTTTTCTTTATGAGTCAGAACGGTCGGGCAGCACTCCCTTTTCGTATCTTTTAGAGCCTTCATTATGCCATCATTTGCTTGATCTACATCTTCTATTTCGTCTTGTAAGTCTTGTATATATTTGGTAATTGTATCTTCATGCAGGTCGTTGTTTTCTGGGGGAATCCATTTCTTTTTTCTTGTTTTTAGGATCATCTTTGTTCTTTCCAATTTGACATTTAATAGTATTTTAGCTCGGTTTAATCTGTGGCATTGTAAATTTGTTAAATACTTCGATGTCTTTTATTATTTCTTTTCTGTTTGTTATAATATAATCTATTTCATTTTTGACACTGCCGTTTGGGCTGATTCATGTCCATTTGCGCTGAAGCTTTTTATAGAAAAGAGAATTCATCATGAATAAATTTTCGTGAAGAAGTTCAGCAGTCTTTGTCCTCGTACATTTCTTTCGCCATAGCCATACTTACGCATTGCTACTTCAACATCGTCTGTTTAAACCTCATTTTCGCATTTAAGTCGTCCATAATTATTGTATAATATGCTGGTATGACATGTAACGCTGTTTCTAGGTCCTCATAAAATTTTTCAATTTCTTCATCCGAGAGGATAGTCGTCAGAGCATATGTTTGGATTATCTTAAGATTATATCTTTCATTTAGTTTGAAGATGAGATATAGAATCCCGGGGCTTATGCTGATAATATAAACTATATTTGTGTGTGCCTTCTTCACCTCTAAAATGAAATATGTATCCTAATTTAAGGGTAATTTGGGATTCTCCTCTTCGTCTTATTTCCCTGAGGCCGATGATGTACCATTTTGTTTTTCAGTTCTTCCTCCAGTTCCATCATCTTCTGGTCTGATATAAGAGTTCTAATATTGTATAAAGTAATATGCATTTGTTGCTCTTTGTAGTAGCCTGATTTTTTCCGGGGATTCTTAGCACCCTCTGATCCAAACCTATTCCAACCGCTATCTTGGTTGGAGGTGTTGGAGCCGCCGGAGACTGGGGGCTGTTCAGTAGTTTCGTCTTTCGTCTTTCATGGAAAATAGTTTAGCCAAAACGCCACGCTTGGCTAGTGAGTGTTGGCGAGTTAGTTTGGAAGTAGAGGGAGGAAAGGGTGGAGATGGAAATGCTTTGGGTTTGGACATGATTTCCCCGGGGATGGGAGGCTGGGGAAATCATGTCATGAGGCAGCGGTTATTATTCGAAATTGAATTAAACACCATCGCCGTGGTAACATAAAAGAGCCACACCTGCAGGCTTGGACCAATAGCAATATCTGCAGCATATCTTTCACCAAACTATCCACCGAATAAAGAATCATTTACTAATTATTTTAATTCACTATGTAATAGAATTCTTGCCGGTGCTGACTATAATGCAAAACATGTAAATTAGGGCTCTCGACTATCTCCACCATGGACGTATAATATGTCCATGATCTCCACCATGTAGAGGTATAATCCTTTTTCAAGTGATGCAGGAACTACTGCTTAAACACTTATCTACTTACACACCTACTTACTGGCCCACTGACCCCAGTAAACTTCCTAACTTTCTAGAGTTCTTTGTAAGCGGAGACATTGCTTCAGACTATACCCATACCCATACAGTAATAGTGACACTAAATTCAAGATTTGTTAAGAAGAAACTTCCAGTGAAACTGCCCAATCACAAGACCAACTGGAATCTGTATACGAAAGAAATACATAAAATAATAAACCTCAATATTTCCCTAGAAACAAAAGATGAACTTCAAATGGCAGTATACGAATTTACTACACTTCTCTAAGAAGCTGCCTGGAATGCCACTCTAAAATGTAAAGCTATACAGAATAAAATAAACTGTCCCATCAGTATTATAAACCAAATTAGGAGTGTAAAGAAGATATGGCAAAACACAAGGCAGCAGCAAGATAAAATAAACTACAATAGAGCCGCGAAACTAAACCCAAAAGCTAAAAAATACAACAGTACAGCACAAAAACTCGTACGTTGGAAATTATCTGCTCAATTGACCACCAACAGCAGATATCGATTTTACGCTTTGGAAGGCCACCAGGAAATTAAAACAAGCAGGTAAACACACACCACCATTAAGAAACCCAGATGGCCCATAGGCGAAAACAGATCAAGAAAACGCCGAGATATTTGAAAAATATCTTGAAGAACTTTTTTAATTCTCTACCCTCTGTCAGTGTTGAAGAAGATGAAGCTATTTACGAAAGTCTAGCAGCAATCCAACAGTCAGGTGAGCAAATTAAACCAGTATCAAAAAGAGAAGTGTTAAAAGTGCTATTAAACATAGATTAAACACCAAAAAAGTTCCAAAAGATCTTTAGAACAGGAACTATCTCAAAAGAGTTACTAAATAAAGGAATAGTTATGATAGAAGTAATGGATTTTGACAAGAGCTATGAGTCATGCCGATTCAGTACACAAGTTTACCTGTTATTTTCAAGGTCATAGCTCTTGTTAAAATCCATTCCCTATAACACAAATTTTCAATGCCTCCCTAAGACTCAAAATTATACTCAATAGAAAATTGCTGATATTATAAGCATCCATAAACCTGGTAAACCGCCTCACGAACATACCTCTTATTGTCCTGTTAGTCTCTTACCGGTAATTGTTAAACTATTTGAGAAGCTAATAGTGACAAGACTTATAAAGATAATAACTGATTGGGTCAGGAATAGGGTCGTTGATATAGTGAATAAAACTTTTGAGAAAAAAAAATACTGTTCTGCTCTTCAAAATGAAAATGAACGTTCCAGAATCAATGTTTACTTTACTAAAATCATATTTAGAATAAAGGTACTACCGTGTTACGTATTAATCAGAAACTCTGGGAGTCCCTCAAGGTAGTGTTCTGGTCCTATATTATATTTGATATTTACACAGACATACACTTTTGTACATACCAAAAAACGAAAATGTAATGACTACAACATTTGCAGACGACACTGCTATGTTAATCACAGCTAATAATCCTGCAACGACTACCGAATCTCTTCAAAGACTTATTGAAAAGTGGTCAAAGAGATGGCGCATAAAGATCAATTAATCTAAATTACAACATACCATATTTACAAAGTGTCGAAAATAATCGCCTAGTATAGAAATAAATAACAAAGCAATTTCACAAATTGAAACCGAATGTTTTATTAAATACCTTAATTACTATTTAAATGGGAATAAGCCACAATTAAAGGTTAAAGTAAGTTTATTGACGTTTCAATTTCCACTTCGGAAATCGTTCTCAAAATACAAACATTAGTAAATTAAACAAATTTTGTTTTTTTTTGAAAAATTCTTCTAATAATTTAATTTTATCTGACTCATTTATATTAACAATTCAGACATACATTATACATTTTAAAGTAGACGACTTTAAAATAATATTGCCAATATTGTTGAGTTGCGCTTCTGGGACGACTTTACTTATAAGATAGTTCACTCGATTACATGAAATCAACTTTAACTTAAGAATATCCGTCAGAAAAAATCATAGCATGTAATTCGTCTTTAAAAAGACAAACACATACCATGATGACAGTAAAATTCTCCTGTTAGTGATTCCATAGTAAATTATAAGGTAAAAACCAGGAAAAAAACCTCATAATACTACCCCGACATGGTAAGTATTTGGTCGTGCATTTAGTTTACCTTGAATAAACACCAAATTCTGATTTTATAGTTTTGTTATTTAAAAAACATAAATGATGTATCCTCTATATGTTACTGACTTAATAATACTGGTATTTTCCTTTTAATAACCTGCTCTTTCAATATGGGTAACCAGATCCTACTACATTCTGCCGAGGAATTTGCGACACAAGTGGTCTTATTTAGCATAATTAGAGCCGCTTCTTTGATTTTTCTCTTTTTACCATCCGTTTCTTTTAGGACTATATTTGAATAATTCCATTGAACCCTATGTTCATTATCCCATGCGTGTTTAGATATTTGAGATCTATCAAATTCTCTATTTTTAATATAAGATTGATGTTCACTTATTTTAACATTTAATGGCCTTGATGTTTCACCTAAATAAAACTGATCGCATTCACAAGGTACTTTATAAATGTAATTCTTTGTCATTTCTTTTTTATTGTTAAGTTTGGTTTTGGACAAAATAGATCTCACCGTGTTTGCTGTTTTGAGTGTTGTTGAAATTTTGAATTTATTTCCTATCCTTTTTTTTTTCTGATAATCAGAATATCAGAAGTTTTCTGATAATCCTTTTATGTATGGTATTGTTATTTTCCTCGTATGTGTATCCTCATTGTGTATGCTGTAGGATCGTTTTAAGTTGTTCTGTTCTATTCGATCGCTTGTTGAAAATTACTTATTTATAAACGATAAAGGATAATCATGTTTTAATAGAATAGATGTTAACAAATGTTTTTCCCCCAAGAACGAATTTTCGTTAGAACAAGTAATTTTGGCTCTATCGTATAAGGATTTAATGATTCCTTTTTTAATATTAATATTGAGATTTGATTGGAAATTTAAATATCTGTTGGTGTGTGTTGGTTTTCTATACATCTGAGTCTCATATCCAGTATCGTTCTTAGAGATTAAAACATCCAGGAAAGGTAGTGTTATTATATTCCTTTTCCGTGGTAAATGTTATTGTCTCTTCTTTATCATTTATATCATTTAGGAATGTGTCCAACAACTCTGATCCGTGAGGCGATATTGAGAATACATCATCTACATATCTAAAATTTTGTTTAGAAATATTATTTATTTAAAAATCTTCCATAAATATATCGGCTAATAATGGAGATAAACCCCTAGAGCCCATTGCTAGACCAACATTTTGTTTATAGATTTCATTATTTAGTTGAAAATATGTATTATCAGTACATAATGTTAATAACTCCATTATAGCTGATATGTTTAATCTTGTTCTAGTTGCCAATGTATCATCACTCTCTAATTTTTTCTTGACTATATTTAAAGTCTTATCTAATGGCACATTCGTAAATAAACTATTTATGTCAAAACTTACCCAAGTATTATTTGAATTAAATTCAATATTTGATAATTTATTTAAAAAATATTGTGTATTTTATATAAATGTGTCATTTTTATTTGCGAATGGTTTTAAAATATTTAATAAAAATTTTGGTAGTTTACTAAAAGAAGAATTCATGGTACTACAAATGGGTATAAGTGGTATATTCGTTTTATGAACTTTCGGTACTCCATAAAAATGAGGGGTCTTACTTTAATGAGGTGTAATTAATCTTCTCTGATAACTATAACTTGTTAAACAATCTTTAAACTTGAATAAAGTTCTATATATTCTGTTTTCCAAAGGCTTTTTTTTTTCACAAAGTAACAAAAAAATCAAAATTTGTTTAATTTACTAATGTTTGTAGGTATTTTGAGAACGATTTCCGAAGTGGAAATTGAAACCTAAATAAACGTACTTTAACCTTTAATTGTGGCTTATTCCCATTTAAATAGTAATTACAAACATTAGTAAATTAAACAAATTTTGTTTTTTTTTTTCAACAAAAAACAACATACAAACATTAACCAAAAAATCTTCCCATATACATAATACCTCACCTGCATTCAGTGCCAGCACGTCTTGTACATCCGACTGCAGATCTGTTAAGTTCTTTATCCTTTACACTGATAACTCTAGGGTAGCAGCATTGGTCTTTGCACTCTTTATCATCGTACCCACAATCGCATTCCTCTCCAGCTTCAACAATTTTATTACCGCAGAAGGCACCAGCGGAAGCAGTGAAACAATTTCTTTTCTTTTTCTCTTCGATTGCGTCTAAAACGTTGCTAATGTTGCCGACACTACAGCTAGAAAATTTACTGTTGTTAGGTCGATCACCACTGGTGGCGGACGCGAACATAATGTAGTTACCGTTGGGACCTCCAGGACGGCATTCTGGAGGGTAGTCATGCTAAAAATATAGATAAATAGTGAGCAGATCTTGTAATATGCACTAATCAAAAAAGATATATTTACCGAAAGTGATTAAACTTTAACTATAAAACGCAAGTAAAACTCTTTTAAGTAAACAATTAAGTAACAAAAACAATATTCCATATAAAAATAAAGTAGAAAAATATTTCGACACCATGTTTCTTTCGAGTAATGAATAATTTTACAAATATTAGTTTGAAACTCTCTTCGAGACTCAGATGTACCTAAGCGATTCACTTTACATTTTAGTTATACTCTTTAAAAGGAGTCAAAATTATTTGGTTAGTTTATCCTAGTGTATCCTAGGGGATCCTAGTTTACCCAAATTTAACACAATCTTTAAATGGACTTAGTAAAAACGACCACTTTGCAGTATGTGAAACCACACACTCAGTTCACTAACTCATAATTCTTACTACAAATATTTATTATGGAGTAATTATTACAACTAATATTATAATTTTCATATATAGTGTTTTTTAGTTTCATACTTTCAACTATAAACTTTCATATATAGTTAGTAACACTTTGTAAAAGGTGATTTTTTGGTTAAAATATATAATATAAATAATAATATAATAAAACACTAAACTCTGGAAATTATGAAACTCTCAAAAGTTAGCAAAAAATCTCATCTTGTTCGAATTGTGTGCAAAATATAGGCCAGATCGGTTGATATGTTTTGCCAAATGTAATTTTTTTATAAGGTTTTTGTAAAATGAGCTCATTTCTAAAGAAGGTTCAAATAAGTTGACTGAATATATATTAATAATCCGGGGCCAATTTTCTTCATTGAGACGTATACTAATCAGATATGGCAAAGAAAGGTTAAAAAAATTACATTTATGTACATACAACGATAAACAGCACTTTTTAAGCTTATAAACATTTACAATAACACTCGTAGAATGTAGTTCACATTAAATAATCTGAGATTTTGTGAACGAGAGGAAGCCTCCATAGGTAGATCAGCTACGAGGATTAATAGCGAGGAATGAGAGATTGGGAGAATCAGCAAAAAGTCAGGGACAGAGAGGAGAAAAAGAGAGTGAATATGGAAGAATTAGGCGCGATAAGAAAGGAGGTGGAAGTGGTCCTTAAGAAATCGAAGTCACTCCACAACATTACAAAGGAGCAAATGGAAACCAAAGTTGAAATCAAGATTAAATGAATAACGGCCCTACACACATGTCCAAGGCAATTCAGACGAAAATGGAAAACTACAAAGAAAAAACTGAGAAAATCCCATAACCAAAAAAATTTGAGAAAAGTAACATAAGTGAGTACACAAGCAGCAACAGGATATATAGAAATGGATATGGAAAGGAGGAAAAAAATGGAGGGGGAGATTGCCGCTTGCTTAGGGAGAGAAATTAGTGAAGGAGAATACAAGAAGTACGTGGCTAAAGAAGACCAGAGGATGGCTTTAAAAGAATAAAGGCAGTAGAGAGAAGGGAAATTGTACCAGCAGAAAACAAAGATGTGATAATTATGCTGAATAAAAGAGGGAAAAGTAAACTAACAGCCAAAGCGGTTCTACCATATATAAAGGGCACAACAGAGAAAATAGGGAGGGTGCTAAGAAAACAACATAGAAACGATATTTAATACCGACAGAAAAATCTCAACTATTTTATCCGCCAAAACAAAAATATCGTTAGAAAATCAAGAAGTACACGCGATTCCATGTGTGGACTTTGATGAATCGTACATCGGACAGACAAATGCCACGGATAGAGAACACGTCGTCGAATCCATAGAATTAGAAAAAAATCCCAACAATCTAAACCAAAGAGATGATGTTCAAAGGCTTCAACAGCATATAAAACGGTATTAAAGAAAAAGTAAAAAATATATTAGTCCACAAGACCGAGTAGGACTCCTACCTACACACTAAGGTAGTGAATGTCATGTCTAAAGCTCACTTGCAGGCCGTCATCAAAGAGAAAGTTTTTGGAAAAAAAAAATAGAATAAAACATACTTCGGATAATTCATTAAAAGTAAGTCATCAAAAACATGATGATAGTAGATAAAAATAGAGACGTGCTGAAAAGACTTTTGGGTTCAGATGTCACGACGAAACCAGTCCATTAGCAAATAATGGCAATTACATGGATCTTGTTTAACTAATTTCTAAGTACGATCCTTGTTTAAAAACTCATTTAGAACAGTCCAATGTGTTTCAAGGCACCTCAAATCGAATTCAGAATGATTTGATTTCTGCTATTTCGACAGTAGTTTCAAACAAAATAATTGATGAAATTAAACAAATACGCTTCATTGCAATTATTTTAGGTGAAACAACTTATGTTACCAATTTTAGCCAGCTCTCGTACGCTGCAATAGTACGATTTGTTAATACAGACGGAATTATACAGGAAAATTTTTATATTTTTTTTTACGCACAACAGGCCATTAAGGCCTAGGGCAATTTTTGTAAACATAATCCTAATATTAACTGATTAAAATTATTTTAAACAAAACTTTAACTTAAATATGTATATACAACATTCTTAACTACTCTGAAGGACCTGGTGGACAATATTTCTCCATTCGCTTCTATTTTGTGCTTTTCTTTTCCAGTCCCTCACCTTCACGTGTTTTAGGTCTTCCTCCACTTTATTAATCCACCTCGTTCTGAGTCTACCTCTTCTGTTGGGGCCGATTAGTTTTCTGGTTATTACCAGTTTGGGCATTCTGTTTGCTTCTAATCTTTCCACATGTCCCAACCATCTGATTCCTTGTGACATGACGAACTTGGTAATGGTAGGTTCTTTGTATAAAGCCATTAATTCATCGTTGGTTCTTCTCTCCCAACCATCTTCTGTCTTCCGTCCTCCGAATATGCGTCTCAGTATTTTCCTTTCCCATCTTTCCAGAGTATCCTCTTCCTTCTTATTTAATATCCATGTCTCACCGGCGTATGTTACTCAGGAAAATTTTTAGTTTTTATAAATGTATCAGAAGATAGAACGGCAGACGCATTATATAAAATTGTTTGTAAACTTTTAAAATCGATTAATGGTAATGACAAGTTAATTGGCCAAAGCTATGACGGCGCTGCGGTTATGGCTGGGCTTTTGGGGGTCCACAATTGAAAGTGCGAGAAACATGACCTAGTGCGATAAGTATACACTGTTTTGCTCACAAACTAAACTTAGTTTTATCCCAATCGGTCGTGCAGATCAAATAATTCAAAGTTTTTTTTGATACTTTAAGTGGAATGGCTGCTTTCTTTTCTAAATCCTTTAAACGAACTCAAGCTTTAGATACAATTGTAAAACGAAGACTATCAAAAGTTGTAGTGACGCACTAGAATTACAACGGCAGACTAGTATTAACAGTCTTAGAACACCGCGATTCTTTAATTGAATTATTTGAGAGTGTTCCAGGACTCGACACCATAAAGTAAGACTGAGAACACGTAGCACCGAAGTAGGCGGATCCTCAATGCCAATTTTAGGTCTCTTGTTACATAACACCTTGGATATCTTTCTAAAAGCAGCTCTAGCCTGCTCTATCCTAGATCTAATTTCGCCGTGACTTTCTGCGTTACAATTTCATTGCTGTCCAAGGTAAACCATTTTATCAACTTGCTCAAGAGGATTTTTTTAATCTTGCTTTTTTCTCAAATAATTCCATTCTCAGATAATTTTTTTAATGAACTACAATGCAAGATAAACGATATTTGCTTCTGTATAAAAAAATTAACGATTTTAAAGATGTTATTAACAAAAAGAGAGATGATTTTGAAAAATGCTGGAATAATATGATGGCAAGAAGTTTTGAGCCTAAAAGGAAACGGATACGCACTGATAATGTTGGAGATGTTGAATCGAGCTACCGCCAACTATATTATCAGATTTTAGACCAAATATACCAACAAATGGAAAATAGGTTTAAGAATTTTAATGACCTAGACTTTCTTGAGCTGTGCAATTTTAATGCATTTATAAAGACACATTTTCCTGGAAAACAAATAAAATCTTTGATACGTCTTTATGTACAATATTTTGATTTGATTTCATTAGAAATCATTCATCAGATTTCATTAGAATAATTGAATTACATTATAAATAGGTGAGTTTTTAGTTTTTACATTTTTTTAATTGCTTCCCATGTTTTAAATTTCACCGCACGCGCCTGTAGTAGCTGCTTTATTTTGGCAATGCAAATATAATAAATGTTATTATTTTTTAATAAGTTTAAAAAAGAAAGAGCTAAAGAGCGCTCTATTTTGAAACCGTGTTGTATTAGTAGTACAAAGTACTCTTATGTGACTGTAATTACGGCCCTGTAATGTCTCGAAAAGTCTACCTGACGTTCTATTAATGGTTTATCGCGATATCTTCCTGTAATTTCGGATGAAAGTGCTGACTCAACTTTCAGCGTAATAGACATGTAAAATCTAGAAATTAACGATCTAATTATATAAGGTAGTGCTTCAACGTTTGAAGTTTAGTTTTAATGCGATTACAATAAAAATCTAGTTACAATAAAAAACAAGTTGTTTTTTATTGTAATACTCAAGTTTATTTCACTTAATCCTTGAACCCATAGAAAAACGTAACAGTACTCTTTGATTACAAAACAACTGTTAACCATTTTCAATCATTTTGATTGCTGAAAGGTTTTCTCAAAGTTTTGTTTGACTTTGCGAAACTTTGACTTTTCTTATAAAACATTGGTTAATTTCAGCCCTAATATTGTTAATTAAAGTAAGTCATTTCAAACAAGGGCTCCCAAGGGTCATATGATTTTTTTATAAAAAATTTTAGTTGTTTTAGTTTAAACTTAAAAAATCTTAGAAATTAGCATATTTTTCAAAAAATTATATATAATAGATTAAATTTCGTAAAAACTATTTAACCGATCTGACCCAACATTTGCAGAAATTTCAAACATGATAAGATCCTCAAGTTCAGGTATATTTAAACAAATTTTAATAAATACCAAAAAAAGTTATTAACAATATTCAAAAACAGCGATTTTGTTGTTTATTTTGCAATAACTTTTTTGTTTATTAACTGATTTTTATTTAACCTAACTCATTTTGTGTATTTTTTTTCTGAAAAAGTTGTCTGTTGACGTCAAATCTCTAAATAAATAACTTTTTAAGTTATGAGTAAAATAATGAGTTTGACGGTTTGATTGTTAATTTAAAAATAGTTCAACTAAAAAATTGATGAATTCCTAGATGAGAGTATTTTGTAATGTCTCATACTACACATGTCATGTATCAAACCCGTCTATACACTTGGGTTAAGTGAAAAACTAACTTAATTGGCCTGTAATTATATCGTGTAGATGACGTTCTTACTCTCTTGTAGATAATATGTGTCTGTAAATTTGTAGTATAGTTTTATCGTTTAATAATTTTAATATATAATACACCTTTTATTACATTTATATCAAAACAATTTAACAAAAATAATGTAATATATGAATATAGAAAATAGTTACCGGCGAACCAAAATTATGTCCAATCTCATGAGCTAGAGTTAATTGAGAAACTTTTGGAGGAACTCTGCTATTGTAATTCACGAATGTGATGATACCCGTATTTAGAGACCTTTTGGTGGATTGATACATTCCACCAATAGTCTCTGTGTAAGTCTTATACTTCTCACAAATGCCTCCAGAAGCACCAGAAGCACTGGCAACCCACGCCAGTCCCAAAGTACCTCCGGTAAAGTCTCTATAAGTGAACACATATGCCAGACAAAAGTCTTCATGGTTGCCCAGCGAATGGATATTGAGGAAATTGCTAACATCTATATTCTCTAGGCAGAATTGGTTCATTTCTCCACAACCTCTGTGATAGCATTTACACGATGAATCATCGTCAATCTATAACAAAAATATATATAGTCAAACTCTAAATTTAAAAACTAGAAATATTTCAAATATTTTAAACCAAATTAAACTAGAACCATTAATGGATGCACTGTATAAAAGCTAAATCAAAGTAGAGGTCGCCAAAAACAATAAAAACAAAGAAAAAAAAACAATAAAAGCAAAGAAAAAATCAAGAAAACTGTAATAGAAGCATTACTATAAAATTTCGAACAAAAAAACCTATTCAACCTAGTCATATAGCAAATACAAAGAATCTGAAATGAAACAAAGAGGTTAGTTAGGAAGACCAAATATTACCACTAACAAATATTTTCGAAACGACTAAAACATGACATGACATGATCTATGGGCGCAGAAAACAAATATAGCGAATGATTAAGTAGCTGAATTGGGTGAATCAAATCAAACAAAATAATGAAAACTTGGATCATATAGCATACAGAATATAATCAAGTAGAACCAGACACATCAGAAATAAAAGTAGAGAACAATGTGCAGATAGACGAATCAGGAATATAATTAGCATTTGGAAAACTATGAAACAAAAAAAATCTGGGTCAAAATAAGATTTCCAATCACGAACTCAAACGGAAATAAATAAATCTTAGAAACGAACTGACGAAACTAATAAAAAACTGTCTTTAACATTTAATCCCAGATAAATGACGCATTAGCTTCGTAATACTAGTGTAGTATCGACGAACTTTAAGGGTTTAGACCGGGAAGATCATGCACGGATGCGGTCTTTTGTAATAAGACAAATAACAGAAAGATCTATTGAATATAGTAAATGCATCGTTTCATAGATTGGTAGAATGTTTTTGATAAGATCCAAATAACCGACATCATTAATTTCTATAAGGTAGACAAATCGCATAGTCTAATTAAAACCTTGCAAAACTTCGTAAGTCTACTACTATTTAATATCATCTAAAAAACTTACTTTGATTCTTTGCACTTCAAATTTGATATTACGATGTTCACTTTTTCCATCGAACTTGGTATCACGGTATATATAATTAACGGCAGTGACGTGATGAGCAATTATAGAGAGTATTTCTTCTCTAGTCTTTTCGTTGACTTCTTGTTGTTTTTTAGGATCTAGATGCTAAAACGGAAAACAGCGTATAATATAATATTTGATACCTTATTAAAAATCATTTAATAAAATGAAATGAAACTATTCGAAGTGTGGACCGGAGTAACCTTTTGCGTTACTACCTACACTACTGGCGTTACTGCACCAATCGTATCTGGTGAAAAAAAAATCGTATCTAAGTGTATGTTAGTGAAAGACAAAACATTGCCACTCAGTGTAAGATAGTTGTGTAGCGTTTTATATTTAATGTCTAAATAATAATATAAATTCGATTCTATATAGTACGCCCCTGGTACGCTAGAAATGTGTTGTCTGTAGAGATTTTTAAATACGCAATAATTCTTCAATAAATAAAGACGTATTTGCTAAAGAAAGCAATTTATGGCTTTTTAACTTCAACGTTCCCAGAAAAATATTGCAAGCCTTGGTATTCTTTTTTCTAAAGCGTAGTTTGAGTGAAGAATTTGTTGATTTGACAAGATGGAATAGTCGTGCGGGGAAAAGAGACGGTATCTACCCGGCAGATTGAGATCGAGGAGGGTCAAGCGAAGGCAGTGATGAATAATTGCTCGCAGCGAAAGGTCGTTTTAATTGTGATGTGGTAAGCCGGCATTCATTCGCCAAAATGGTGGAATTTTCACTCTAGTAATATGTCGTTTCTTAAAGAGTGACCAGTAACCACTGTTTTTATTTTGGCTGAAGATTTATGATGTTTGAGCAGTGAACAAGTTTAGTTCCTGCTTGTTTTTCGTTTTTTGAGAAATCCAGTTCCTTTCCGAGATGCCCTTTTCACCTCACGTAGAATAATATTGGAGCAGTTTTGATTTGGATGTGCCAGTTTCAGCTTCCAATAAAGCTTTCCGTTGATGTGCAGTTAGATACCCCGCAGAAATTAGCCAGTTGTTCAAAAGTTTAAGTTAACATGTGTGAACTGAGGTAACATTTACGTTATTAATTTTTAAAGTAAAAATAGACATTTTCTTTTAAAAAGACAAAATTTGCTTTCTTTTATAAATTATTTTTAAAAAAAAATATTTGTAATTAAAATAAATATTATGTTAGGGCCTGGTTTAAACTGTCATGTCATAATTTTATCCTGTTTTAAAAATGTTTGTTTTGACGTATGACAGTTTGATTTTTAATCTATTTTGATTTGTAGTAAAGATTAAATTTTATTCTTTATAAAAGGATATCCATAAAATTTGGCCACATTATCTACTAGGAACCATTTCGAAGAATTTTGTAACCTTTGTAAACAGATATGTAAGTTCTTTTTATTTGTATTGGACAGCTATTTATATATAATATGCCTTTGTATAAGCTGTATTTTTGAAAACTGTTTGAGACAATAATAAATGTTAGATTTGTTTCCCTAATCTATTTTTTTTTATTTAGAAAAATCTCCTAACCTTTTTTTTTATTTTATATAGGTACTAGGGAAGAATTTTTTCTTTCCTTCTGTAAGCTAGGATCCTTCAAGTGGCGCCCTATAACAAATTTCTTGAGGTGTTCCCAGTTTATTTTTGATCTGTTTGTCCTATCAATTGCCCAGGAGATTTATGTAAGTATCCCTTAGTTTCAAGTAGTAGATACCCCAATCCAAAACCCTTTATTTCAACTTATCCACGACCCAGCTCTCCAATAACCAACTGAGTGTCGTTCGCACTTGTTACGATTATTTTGTTTGCCCAATCTTCTACCCCTCATGTTCTTACCCTCAGGTAAGCAAAATATTGTCGTTAAAGTTGATAATTGAACAGTATTAAGAAATATTTTATGTTTAAGTTTTTTTCATTGAAAATTATTCTAATCAGTCAGTTCCCATTTAACGCCAACATATTATCTTTAAGTCGTCGTCGTTTCTAAAAAACCAGTATTTCTGACTTGAACCACTTTGGTGTTCAACCGCTCATATAAAAGCCTAGGAAAAAGCATTAGCTTTTCAAACTTTTTGAGTTGGCCCAATTTTGATTTGAAAACAAAATTTTGCTAAAAACCCAAAAAATACATCAAGGATGAAAATTTAGGAATAGATAGCTGAAAGTGTTTATTATTAAACAAAATACAGTTTACAATCCTATTATTTTTTCATATTTTTCAAGTACCTCTTAAAATAATAAAAAATATATAAATTTTTTTCAGGAAAGCGACATGACTTTACCTTAAAAATTTGTCTAAAAATGTTTATAGTTTCAGTAGTTTCTGAGATATTGCACTTTTTTAAACTCCTACCTGGTTGCGCGCGCACATAAAGTAAATAATATTTACTTAATATTCTTTAATTAATAAAATTATTAAGTCAATAATATAACAAAACCCAAGTGTTATGTAAATCAATGTTATACTAGATTAAAAAATTTATTTAAAAAATATTGAAATATATAAACAAACAAAATAAAAATAAACAATTATTATTTTTCGCAATAAACAAATAATGAATAACGAAGAAACTACGTAATGACCTTTTGGTAGTTGCCTTGTTTGTTTTTCTATCTAAATATATTCGTTCTTACCCTCCCCTTTCATTTGCTATGTCGCATGTTATTCGATCAGTTGTTTATTTTGTACTCAGCCAGAGGCCTTCTGTAAGTCAATAAGCAAAATTTGTTTTATAGTAAATCTATTTTTATCTATAGAGTTCTAGGACATCTCGTATGTCACTATACGTTCATTAATAATGAAGATACTATTAAGTTTCCTTTTTTTAGCCGCCTTGCTAGTTTTCTCTTCCTTAATATATTCGTTATATCCTCCCATTTAATGTGTTATTTGTTTTTGTTATTTATATCATATACGATAAAAATTGGTCAAGTTGCCTACCAATATAAAAACTGTTTGTATACGGGATGTTTTGAAATATTTGTCTCTAGATGATCCATAAAAATATCTGATAGCAATGGGCTAATACTCATTATAAGTGCTGCACTGTTATTTGTATATATTTGATTATCCTGATGAACAGGACTTTTTTAGTTTCACTACAGACATCTGTAATAGGTTTTGTAATGATACTTTTTTTTATATTGTTAGAAGTTTTGTTTAATGATACTTCGCATTCTATATCTAAGTATTCTTATTATTATGTTGAGGCAAGTTGTGTTTAAATACATTCTCTAAAAGTTGTATCTAGCTATTATATTATATTGTTAAATTTATAAATCTATTGAAAAAATTATGGGTCGAAAAACTTTTTGTACCTTCTGTTCGATTACATATTACAGGCAAAATATCAACAAAATAGCCAAACACATAAAAAAGAAAGGAATAACACCAGCTTTTAGAATAAACAACAACTTAGGGACATACATTAAAAACAACAAGAGCCAAAATAATAAGCTGTTACACAGTGGTGTATACAAAATTAAATGTGGTGACTGCCTAAAAACTTACATCGGTCAAACGGGTAGAAAGTTTAACATATATAACAGATTTTTTAACGAATAACAGAAGATAAAAGGGACATGACAGGGACGGCTTTCAAGAATAGAAAAACAGATTCTACATACGTACTTCACCTTCTAAATCATAATCATTCTATTAAAGACGAATTTCAAATTTTTCACATACAAAATAAAGGCCTTAAGCTATCTTTGCTCAAATCTATTGAAATTAACAAATTAAAAAACACAGACAATTCTTAATGACCAACTTATTTCGTTAAAAACTATGAAGTCTAAACTCATACCAAAAATAGATCACTTGAGAAAGGAACTCGGTCAAAACAGCTGTAGTGAAAAAGATTTTATAACAAATTTTGTGGAAGTTTTGAAAACAAAGTTTTATTGTTATATAAAATGAATTTCCATCAAGTAACCGGCGAATCTATCATTCATAAAATATTTAATTAATTTCATCAAAATATTCAATTCACTGTCGAGTTTGAAAATGAAAATAGTAATCCTTTTTTAGATATCAAAGTCATAAAAACAAATCACAACAGAATCATATTAGATTGGTATTACAAAGATACAGCATCCGGCAGATTTATAAATTATTATTCTAATCATCCTAGAAATCAAAAATTCAACACAATCACATCTATGAAAAATCGAGTAACGACAATCTGTGATCGGAGTTTCCTAGATGTCAATTTAAAGAAACTTTTTGAAATGTTTTTAAACAATGGCTACCCAAAACATGTATTAAAAAACTCATTTATAACACTCACTTTAATAATAGAGCTTTAATAAATAATCCACAATAAGTTACATAGAAAAAAATACCTTACATACAAAATTTAACAGACCAAATGGTCCCTCTTTTCAAAACATTTCCGAACTTTACTTAAATATAACCCACTTTTAAATTTAAGGCTATTCTCAAAAATCAAAGTTAAAACTCCAAATTCACTAATGAGTAACATAATTTACCGAATAAATTGCAGTCAATGTCAAAGTTATTATATTGGTCAAAGTCAACAGTGGCTTAAACGACATGTCACTCAACACAAAAGTGACTGTAACATAAGAAGAAAAAACTCTTTTCCCTTAGTGGACCACCCCTTACAGACAGGACATAACTTAATGTAAAAATCTTGGAACAAGTTGATAATTATAAATATGGACTTTTCCTTGAAACGCTACACATTAACAGAACTACTGAATCTATCAATTATAAAACTGACGCCAACCATTAAAGTAATATCTACTGTGTACATATACATACTAAGCAATATATGATATGATAGATCTTAATCTTTAAGAACAAAGTCAATAATCTTCTAGTAACTCAACCTACAATTGTATTCCATTCCTAAATATCAGTATTACATACAACAATTACATTTTATGGATCAATTTAACATATTCCTGATTTTTTTTTCATTCCTCTACTATTAATTGCATCTTTCCACCTTATAATATCGATAATACTGTCATAATTATTGTTTACTTCCACTAAACTTATTCACTAAAAATTGTCCAATATAAGAATTCACTCTATAAAATATAATGTATTACGGTTAGCATAACTACGAAATAAATTAAAATCAAACAAATGTTATTTAGTTA